GTCCTACTCGCACCAAAACCCAAAGGCTCTTTTCAGAGCCCCTCAACTCTCATGAGGGAAGAGCTGTGGCGCCTAGAGACTGCCTGGCAGCCTGTGGGAAAGTTCACTGTGGGAAGTGTTTCTGAGCCACTCCCCGTGTGGCACACGTAATGCACGTGAAGGACGCCCTGACGTCCAGCATTTGGCTGTGCCCCGTAAACCCAACCCCAGCCTTGTTTCCGTGTCTGGCACGTACCTGCTTCGTCTCAGCCGTGAGAAGCATTTTGTGGAAAGGCACTTTTTGCAAAAGCTCAGCCATGGTATAAATCGCCTATAAGAAACAAGTTCTGTTCAGCTTGCTGTGGTTTTTCTAATTTTGATGCGCCTTTAATTTTTTCAAAGTTTTTTGGCCCCCGTCCTTAAGAGGTTGGTCCGTTTTACTTCTCTGCCTTCAGGAATAACTAGTATTGCCCCAAGTGTCTTAAATACTGTGGGTTTTTGTTTCAATGTCATGTTGAGCTTTGTGTATGTGACCAGTGGGCTGATGGCTTGCAGGCTGTAGGCTGTCCTTTGTAAAATGAATTCGCAAGACGGCTGGTAACTTTTCTAGGCTTTTGCTAAGTGTTTTAAATATGTTCTTGTCTGTGATTTTTTTTTCTTTTTAGATAGGGCCACACTAGGCTATATCTGAGGTGGGATTTTTAAAGCTCTTTCTTGGGTGCACTCATGATTTTCTGGCTTGTGTGGGGGTTTTTTTTGTTTTTGTTTTTTTAACAGAACTCGGCTCTTTATTTTGTACAACTTTCCAACTTTTTAAAGTCTCCAGTGTGCTCTTCAGATATGTCTGTCTTTTCCTCATTTTGCTGCTTGCCTTGGGGGGTCTTCCCCCCAGGAGGTGGTAGGTTCTATGGAAGCAATTGTTCTCCAGTGTCTTCAGCCAGGGCAGCATGGGGGCCTTCCCTTCCTGTTTTTGGGCTTGTATTTGCCCTTCCAAAGCTCCTTACATGCCAACTATCAGCTTCCTGGAAACTGGAAGAGTCTCTGAATGCTTCAGAAACCATCCTGACCCATCGGGCCGAAGCCCCTTCCTGCAGAGCTTGGAGCTCCTGGACTGTCAGGTGTAGGGAGGGACCCCTGGTGCTGCCTGTTCTGAGCTTCAGAGATTGTCTTCTCCACACCACAGATTTCCCCATCATAATAGAATCAGGTGGTCTATGTTCAAACCTCAGAGCCACCAATTACTAGATATACAACCTTTGACAAATTACCCATTCTCCTCTCTCTCTCTCTCTCTCTCTCTCTCTCTCAGCCTGTGTAGTTATAAAATGTGGCAAATGAATGAAAATCTGTAGAGCATCCTTAGATTAGCTCCTGGAACTTAGTAAATGTCCATTGTATATTAGCTGTTCTTGTATACCTCTCTCCTGCCCCTGAAGCATAGAGGCTTTTACACACACACACACACACACACACACACACCTCTGATGCAGATCTAAGAGTTTTGTGATCAAAACAGTGAAAAGTGTTTGGCTAGAACATTTTCTTAAGATTTTTCCCATTGTTCTGAAAGAGCGAGGCTTGCAACTATATTCCATGATCCATGTCTATGTGGATGAGTTCAAAACTACAAAAGGGCCAAGTGTGGTCACTGTCACATATTTTTTTCTAACATAAAAATCCAAACACCACTTTTAGCTTGAGGGCCTTACAAAAACAAGACACTGGCCGGATATGGCCATCGGCGGCTATATAGTTCCACCTCCAGCGATGCTGAAGGAAGTGTGCTGGCTGTTTTGCCACAGTCTTGCACAGGGAACACTAACTACTGTTTATTGTGTTAGAGGTCACAGTCATCATTTCATCTCCCTTATCATCCATGTAAGATGGTCATTCCCCATCCTACATGCCTCCAAGTAAACAGCAAACTTCTCCACCCTCCGTGCCCACCTCCTGGTCGTTGCCTCAGTTCCCGTGGGTGCTAATGTTTTCCTGAATTCTTCTGAGTTTAGGAAGAATTTCTCATAGTCAGTTGCCAATTACTTTTATGAAATACAGGTCTATGTTTGCTTAAACACAATAATATCCACATGGATGTCTCCTGTTTGCTAACAGAAGAGGTGCAATTTGGACAGGAGTTTGAGAGCATTGAGAAAGCACCTTGAAAATGGACAAAGTCTCATTTGTGCTTTTGAAACTATTGAAGCCCTTGAATAAATTTTTTTTGGCAAGTTCCAGAGTTTTTTCTAAAACATTATTTGGATAAACATGTTTTACCATTATTTTAATAGATTTGGGTAGGGACTAAAGAAAGAACACATCTCAATCAAAAACATGCCAAATTCAAGTGTGAATTTGAATCTATGTCTTTTGATTCTGAAGCCAAAGTAATTTATCTTTTTCCTGGTGCAACTGAACTTTCCAAGTTGCAAAATACCTGCCCCTAAAGACTAGGCTCATGGGAACTCCTAGGGAGCAGAATCGGGCTTCAGAGGAAGGGCTACCTGGTGACCAGGTGCCCTAGACCTGTGTCCTTGCTACAGTTAGAAGCAAAGTTTCCATCCAGACCAAGGAACCTAGCGTCTTAACTCTTGTAAAAATCAAAGGCCAAACTGAGGGACAAAGCTTTTAAAAATGGCTCCCTTGTTACTTTGTAGAAATTTGTTGCCACATACAACCAAGTAGCGCGATACTCTAAACCAGGTGGACTCGTATGCAAAATGGTGGCGATTTTAAAAAAATAACTTCATCCGTTGTACGTGATGCATAAAAACACGAGGACGCGAGCCGGGAGGCTGTTTTCCGCCCTTGGAGCTTCAAAGCGTCACATTCTGTAACCCAGTTTTGAACATTTAACCAGAATTTTGGGATTAAGAAACAGTTTGTAAATCCAACCGTTAAAGGCGGCCGCCCGAGGGCGGCGGATGGGGCGCCCCACCAATCACAGCTCAGCATCGGCTTATATAAGTCCGGGCCCGAGCCGGCCGCCGCCAACCTCCCTCTTTGGTTTTGAATCTTGTCTGCTCTCCCAACGACTCTCAGCGCCATGTCGGAGACCGCTCCCGCGGAGGCCGCCGCCCCGGCGCCGGTGGAGAAGTCCCCCGCCAAGAAGAAGGCGGCCAAGAAGCCGGCGGGCGGGGCCGCCAAGCGCAAGGCGTCCGGGCCGCCCGTGTCCGAGCTCATCACCAAGGCGGTCGCCGCCTCCAAGGAGCGCAACGGCGTGTCCCTGGCCGCGCTCAAGAAGGCGCTGGCGGCCGCGGGCTACGACGTGGACAAGAACAACAGCCGCATCAAGCTGGTGCTCAAGAGCCTGGTGAGCAAGGGCACGCTGGTGCAGACCAAGGGCACCGGCGCCTCGGGCTCCTTCCGGCTCAGCAAGAAGGCGGCTCCCGAGCTGTCCACCCCCAAGAAGCCCAGGAAGGCGACGGCCGCCAAGAAGTCCGGGAAGAAGACCCCCAAGAAGCCGAAGAAGCCGGCGGCCTCCGGCGCCAAGAAGGTGGCCAAGAGCCCCAAGAAGGCCAAGCCCGCCGCCAAGCCCCGGAAGGCCGCCAAGAGCCCAGCCAAGCCCAAGCCGGTGAAACCCAAGGCGCCCAAGGCCAAACCTGCCAAGCCCAAAGCCGCTAAACCCAAGTCGGCCAAGACCAAGAAGGCGGCTCCGAAAAAGAAGTAGGATGTTTGCCTCCCGAGAGGCCACCAAACCCAAAGGCTCTTTTCAGAGCCACCCAGAGGCCTCGAGAAACAGCTGGGCACTGCACTACTTTGGTCTGGAACTATTGCACTGTAACTTAGATACACATACGCTTAGGTATGGGGTTACGATTTCCTTCCAGCATTGTTGTTGCCCCTAAAGAGCGGCCAAATCATCTATTCTTGGCATTTCACATGCCTTCTGCCACAAGCTCTTTAGTGAAGGCGTGGGTGGCTCTGAAAAGAGCCTTTGGTTTGGATGTTGGGACTTGCTCCTCACTTGCCCTTGGCCTTGTGGTGGCTCTCGGTCTTCTTGGGCAGCAGCACGGCCTGGATGTTGGGCAGCACGCCGCCCTGCGCGATGGTCACCTTGCCCAGCAGCTTGTTGAGCTCCTCGTCGTTGCGGATGGCCAGCTGCAGGTGGCGCGGGATGATGCGCGTCTTCTTGTTGTCGCGCGCCGCGTTGCCCGCCAGCTCCAGGATCTCGGCCGTCAGGTACTCCAGCACGGCCGCCAGGTACACGGGCGCGCCCGCCCCGACGCGCTCGGCCCACGGGGAACTGCAGCCCGGCCCGCGAGGACCGCGTCTTGGCCTTGGCGCGCGCCTTGCCGCCCTGCTTCCCGCGGCCGGACATTCTGGCTACAAACTTCACTGCAAGTGGCTGCAAAAGTGAAACTGCGCGGGCGGCACTTTTTATAAACGTTTGTGGCGCGAAGAAGCAGCTGTGTCATTGGTTCAGGTTTCAGCTGCATCTAAACCAGTGAACGTGCAAGTTTGGGATTCTGGCGCTCTGATTGGGCAGAGCCAGGTTTTGAGCTTGCTCTCCGGAGCCAACAGACACAGGGCTCTGCTTTATCACCTTATTTGCATGCGAGGTTCTATATAAAGAGGACACAGCGTGCTCCGCTCTCACTTTTCTCTTGCCCACCACCCCCGCTGAACTCCCGACCATGCCCGAGCCCGCCAAGTCGGCGCCCGCCCCGAAGAAGGGCTCCAAGAAGGCCGTGACCAAGGCGCAGAAGAAGGACGGCAAGAAGCGCAAGCGCAGCCGCAAGGAGAGCTACTCGGTGTACGTGTACAAGGTGCTCAAGCAGGTGCACCCCGACACCGGCATCTCGTCCAAGGCCATGGGCATCATGAACTCGTTCGTCAACGACATCTTCGAGCGCATCGCGGGCGAGGCGTCGCGCCTGGCGCATTACAACAAGCGCTCGACCATCACGTCCCGCGAGATCCAGACGGCCGTGCGCCTGCTGCTGCCCGGCGAGCTGGCCAAGCACGCCGTGTCCGAGGGCACCAAGGCCGTCACCAAGTACACCAGCTCCAAGTAGGCGCGCGAGCACGCGGCCTCACTCCCGACCCAAAGGCTCTTTTCAGAGCCACTCAGTCTTCTAAAAAGAACTGTGACAGTCTTGATACCGGGTAAGTGTTGTTCGCGGTAAAGCAGTTGGCGGGTGTTCTTTCCGCGGTCTAGTTGTGAACTTTCACTGCGATGCAGCGCAGGCTGAGGCCACCTACATTTTGAGATTGACTTGTGTCAAGAAGTATCCGGTTCTTAGACAAGCGCAGTAAAGAAAAACAAAGTGCTCGCCGTCGAACAATCCAATGACACTTAACCATGTTAACCGCTAAAGTTCTGAATTTTATGAACTATATTCAGAACTATAGTTGAATATCCTATTCCTGCAGTGTGCGCCTTGGTGATGTGGCATTTCGCACCCACTGAAGATTCCAGCTGTCTATTTCCCTTTGGCGGTGGACGACGCTAGTACGCTTCCCCTCTGCGCTGGTTTCCTGATATTAAGTTAGAAAGCCAAAAGGGAGAAAGCTATCTCACGCATCTGCCAGGTCAGAGTGGGCAGCAGTAACAGCCAATCCGGATGTACAGGAAGTGTGGAAGGAACGACGTCCCTGTGCAATTCTATTATTGCTTTAATACGATACAGGGTTCATTGCAGAACTGTGGGCCTTGAGGCTTTGTGAGAGGAACTGCCATTTTACCCACTTCCTCAGTTCTCTGAGTGAAATTACTCTTCCTGTCAAATCAAATCCATGATTTTTCTCTGCTTCGCTTGCATGTACTCTTTCTCTACTAACTGGAAGAAAATTTTAAAGATTGGAAAGTAGAGCAGAAAAAAAAGAACAAGGGGAGCAGTGGGCCATTCCCTGCCCCCAACCCAGGATGTCAAAATCCACCTCCATTGTAAGCCCTTGGGGACAGCATAGGTGTTTAAAACGTGTGGTCTTTTCCCAGGATCATCATGGAATGACTTCCACACTGAATGTGTTTGCTGAAGCGTTCTGACAATGCCCTGTATGCAATTACGGGCCCCCGGTGATTCAGTTCACTCCCAGGTGTCTACATGGGAGTATTCTGCACACTTGGCAGTGAGATCTGTGAGAACTGAGCAATGCTATTTTGAATGGCAAAATACTAGAAGCAACCACATGTTAATGGCCAATATGTCTATTTGGGTGCATTCACACAGTGGGATAGCATATCGCATAGAAAAGGATTGAAATACACAGCACTCCAATGAATTTTAGAAACATAAGTCTCAGAAGGTAGATATATATATATATGTGGTACCTTTTTATAAAGCTTGAAAATAAAGCCAAATTTCTCTTCTTAAAAAAAATGTATCTTACTGATTCTTCACAGAGAGGAAGGGAAAAGGATAGAGGGTCAGAAACACCGATCACCTGCCTGCTGCACACTCCCCACTGGGAATGTGCCCTCAACCAAGGTTCATGCCCTTGACCGGAATCGAACCTGGGACCCTTGAGTCCGCAGGCTCATGCTCTATCCACCGAGCCAAACCGGTTAGAGAGAAAGACTAAATTTCTCTTGAAGCACATGTGTGTGATTTAAAAAAATGTTTTTTAAATAATTTTAAGAGGTAGTTTCATAAGTAAATGTTTTTAAATAGCAGGCAGTGCCTACCTCTGATCCACGCAGGGCAAGGGAATGAATGAGGAAAAGCTCTGAGGTAGAAATAGAAGCTGTATAAAACAAGTTCCAAGAGTCATCTATGTAATCATAAGGAAATCCTGTGAGGACCCCACACCTACTGGTACATCTCTTGACTGTATGACTTTCTCTTCGAGAGTAGAAGAAAAAGACCGACAGAGGCCATTGGAAGAACATGTGGATTCAGAAAACGCAAGATTTTAGCTGTCAGCAGCCCATCTTCTCCAGATGTTACTCAGCTTCTCATAGAACCTATGACAGCCCTCTGCAGGGCCATGCATGTGTTTGTACGCACATGTGTGTATTTAGTCTATACTGTTATGTACTTTTGTAACTACAGTGGGGCCTTGACTTACTAGTGTCCCAACTAACGAGTTTCTTGAGATACCGGCTGTCTCTTGGCCAATTTTTTGCGTTGAGTTGAGAAAGTAATTTGAGTTAACGAGCTCGGTCTCAGAACGAATTAAACTCATAAGTCCATGCCCCACTGTATATGTGTGTCTGCCCTTCCCTCAATTCTGTTATAAGAGAAATCACACTTTTTTGGGGGGGAGGGGGTTTAAATCACTACTTTTCAAAGCACAGGTGCCTTTGATTCGGCCTTTAGTGCACAGATGCAGAGAATAAACAGCCAATTCTGATATTGTCTTGTCTTGTGGAAGGAGGGAATCCGAAGATAATATCCAGAAGAGAAAATGGGAACAGAATTTAGAGGCATTAAGATACCTAAACACTTACGTCCCGGGCCTGGAGAATGTGAATATGTCAGAGTCGCCGAAGGAAGAACGCAGGAGGCCGAAGTGGTACGGGCTGATAAGTGGATTAGGTCATATGGATACCAGACAGGCTGAGTCACAAAATGGTGCCAGCGCCCAGGGATGGAGAGTCAGAGGTTTTAAAGGACCTGGCGGCTTTCTCTGGGCGGAAAACTGGGAGGATCTGGATGCTAGGAAGGGCTGGAGGGGAAGAATAAAGGTCTTAGCAAGTGGAATGTAGTCTGAGCGAAAGGGAACGTCGGTTGTGAAGTGGCCTAAAGGTTGGTTCGCAAGGGAGGGAGTATCGATTCAATTATTTGATCAGACCTAACGTGTAACTGTGTGTTTTGTGTCAGGGACTGCTTGAGTGACCTGGAATTGTCGGCAGAGAAGACGATGTCTAGAAGAACATGGAGGACGGTGGCTAAAGT